CTCGGAGGAAAAATTTCGACGAGTGAGTTGACTCGTGGCTTGCAAAAATTCGGACTTGCCCAGCTCTGTTTTTTGTCTAAATATAAGGTCAAAAGTCAGAATTATGCTCGTAAGTCTCAATTTTCTCCATCAGAACTCAACTTTTATGTAATAAAAATATCATATTCGGAATCAAGATCAAAAGCTGAGTGGACTAACGTGTATTATGAAATTTTTACTTGAATTTCACATTTTCGTGACAATCTCGATAGTCTTTTAATGTAAAAATTCGACGAAAACTGAAGTAGCCGAATAGGACAGAAATACACGTTGGTCGACTCAGTTTTTTATCCTAACTCCGAATATGATATTTTTATTGCATTAAAGTTGAGTTCTGATGGAAGAAATTTAGTTAAACGTCTTCGGCCGGGAAGAATAAGTTTTAAAAAATTTTTGTTAGACAAAAAAGTTTTTTTGTGGCTTATATTCCTAAATTCAAAGCTATTTGCCGAGGCTTAAAATATGCTTTTTTGTGGAAAATATGTCGGCTGAAGCACCGGCTTTTCTAGGGCAGATGTTTCCAGTTATCATTAATAAGAATGTACATTTGATTGTTTGTTTAAGATGAAAAATTTTATAATAGAAATCAAGAATTAAATCACCTTTTTCATGTTGAAATAACTATTTCAAATGAGATGTTTCGTCTTTATTCTAAACACACCATCAGTCAACTCATTTTACATCAGTTGACTGGTGATGTCTTTAAAACAATAAAGACGAAACGTCTCATTTGAAATAGTTATTTCAACATGAAAAAAGAATTTACATGTTTCCATTGTCATCGATATTTGACAGGGCAGTTGACTGAAAAGCTGCCGATCCCATATATATTCACAATTGTAACGCCTACGATTTCATTTGCTTGTCCATTTTGCTGCACGATTATTACACGTTGCTTAAAATTCTTATAAAACTGCTGGTTTTACTATAATGTTGACATAACACTGTTTACACCATATCTCTCAAACTTCAGGCCGCGTAACCTTCGAAAGAGATGCAAACACAAGTTATCGACACTACTCATTCTCATGGTAATGTCTGCTTTCAGGCCAAAAGCTCAATAAATAGTGAAAACCGACACTGCGGTTAAAACAGCATCTTGACTATTTGTACCAAAAATTAAAAAATCCATAACTCAGTCAATATCCCTCAACCTACGTCAGAATATCCGGACATGTTGTATTTTACTTACACTAAGGCATGAAGTTCCATAAACATTTTGAAAATTCACAGAAAATACTTTAGTTTTTGAAGAGATGCGCCAGAATAGGAAAATACTTTCTAATGATCTTAACTTCACAATCAGGTTGAGAGAATAAATTGAAGTGTTGCTCGATATTCTGAAGTGGTCTTATTCGATTTCAACTGAATTATGAAATTGTTTTCGTGAAAGTAGTCGAAAATAGATCAGTTAAACTAATATAAGCTTCAGAAGTAGTCAAAAAATAGCCATGCACACACTATTCGTAGAAATAAATGTGCGTATTCTGCATAGAAAAAATTAAGCGATGCGTAACGATATTTATTTTACAAGGTTTCGTCTATCGGCCGATCAAAGAAAATCGTATTGCACATGTGCCTGAAACAAATCTCAAAGTCTTGTTTTCAGTATTTATTATTCTGATAATTTATAACTATGGTAGAAGATGAAAAGAAAGAACCTAAACAAACTGAAAATAAAACGTGGATTGTAGTAAAAAGTGTTTTGGCAAATGAGGTATTTTGGGGAATAGTGGCATTATTATGTTGTATATTTGTTATATTCGTTATTTGGTTAGTGGAACGACCGATTAATTGGAAAGCATTTTTGGATCCTATACACGAGCAACATGCATTTATAATTATTGCAGGAATATTTGCCTGTATATCGTCTAGCATGACACTATATCAAGTTCTTGACCATTATCGACACTACGTTCATAAACCATCACAAAAACGTATTATTAGAATATTATTTATGGTACCTATTTATGCATTAACAGCATGGTTTGCAATTGCATTTATGGAGTCAGCACTATACATGGATTTTGCTGAATCATGTTACGAAGCCTACGTTATTTATTGTTTTGTAATTTTGTTAACAAAGTATTTAGGTGGCCATCGAGGTGTTGTAGCAGTAATATGTCAAAAAGAAAAATTTAAATTAGTTTTTCCACTTTGTTGTTTACCACCTGTTAATGCAACACCCAAATGGGTATGGTATATTAAATGGGGTATATTGCAGTATACTTGGTTAGCGCCAGTGACAACTGGTGTTGCTGTAGTCGCTAATCAAGTCGGTGCTTATGATGTTGGGCACTGGTCATTTACAAATGTTTATCCTTATGTAGCAATAATTCGAAATGTTAGTCAAGCTATTGCATTATATTTTTTAGTTTTACTGTATACGGTAACAAAGGACGAATTGAAACCATTTAAACCTTTACCAAAATTTCTTGCCATTAAATTTATTGTCTTTTTCGTATTCTGGCAATCTGTTCTTATATCAGGATTGGCATTCATTAAAATAATAAAAGTGTTACCATGTGATGCAGCGACAAATCCGAATTGTAAAGTAACAGTAACTGGTTTAAGTATTGAACAACAAAAAATTTTAATGCAAAATATCTTAATTTGTATTGAAATGTTTTTCTTTGCAATAGCTCATCATTGGATTTTCGGTGTGGATTCTTATGCTGATGGATCATTAACAAAACTTATGGAATCAAGATATGTACAAATTAATGATAAGCATGATGAAGAAGCAGAAGCAGAAGCAGTCGATGACAAAGTACCACTTAAAACATTTTTCTGAAGTACAACATATAAAATACAGTTTTCATTTCATTTTTTTAATTTAAAGCAAAGCATGATAAAACTGTATGCTATAGCGGCTTGTTTGATAAAAATATTTTACAAGAATATTTTTCATCTAGTTTCTTCAGGTAAAAGAATTTCGAACTCGAGTTAAATAGATTCTAATCAATTACTTCGTATTCAAATTATTATTTATTGGAAAGTTCTGTTAATGATTTCTGACAAATTATTCTTACATTCTTCAGTGTTTAGCTAAACAAAAACTACACGTTTTGCATTTCTGTTTAACCGACTCAAATGTTGATGATTGTATGAAACAAGATTATTGTGGTATAAAAATTTTCCGGTTCTCCGTGCAGCAACTATTCTCTTCATTTTATGAATGAAATGTTTACTACCGGAGGCGATAATTCTTAAGAAACAGAACAGGCGCTATTTTCTTTTGCTCTTATGTATGTCTGCATAAGCAACATTGCTTCTTTGCAAATAACAAAAGACGTTAATCTGTTCCAATAGCTTTGTATGTCGTGATATTCATCATCAGGAGTCTGAGTTGTACTAGTCGTGTTACTCTCGAACAATTCGGACAAGGTCGATGTAAATTTGGTATGTTCTCGGAAGAACAACCTATAGGTGGACAGATCAGTCTTCATTACAATGTATATATATGATATTCTCTTTTCGTTTTTTTTATTTATGCTGAGAATCAATAAAAATATGAGAAAAAAGTATATATTGAACACGGAGAAGAAATAACGAAATTGAACAAAAAGTGATAATTTCGACGGAAGAGTAGTTTTTCGTTGGTTTCTAAAAAACCAAGAGTATATCTGAAAAATTAGACAGTATTTGCTCTAGTAAACGGCTAACTCTTCGTACTAACAGCTATTCCCTACTTCATTTCGATATAAAATTTGTTCTTTAATTAATAACGACCTACATAAAAATATATGTCAATTTCGACAAGTGCAGTGAAGACGCTTTCTCTTTCTTCTTTCCTTTTGACAGTATTATGCATATCATAATACTTATACTTATACAACCATATTTTTGTACATTTTTACACGTGTCAAATTTTTTTGATCACAATACTAATAAAAATGATGATGAGCAAACGAACGGTAAATTTTATCACAGACATTGACAGCAACAGTTCATGAGATGTCATGAGAAAAAAAGTGGACACCATTGAAACCTAAACGACATAATAATAAAATACATCAAATTGATAATAATCAAATGAATTTGAGTAACGTAAAATGTAATCAAAGTCAAAATCAAGACCAAAATGACGGTATAGTTAACAATAATAACAAAAATGCTGCAGGATATTTTGATATGAAACGCACATATGTAAATTCAAAGGTCACGGAAACGACACGTCAACGACTCCGTATGGACTGGACTGAGCCCATAGTCCAGTCCGATCCCCATGGACTGGACTGGATCCAAACTTTCAAGACGATGAACTTGTCTAGACTCAAACTGTCAAGATCATGGACTGGTCTGGACTCGGAAAAATTTTGGATGGACTTGAATCGAGGAAAAATCGGTAAATGACAAGTTATTTTTGTTTTGTTAAAGGCGACTATAGATTACTAATAGAGAAGAAAAAGAAATAACAGACTAAAGGTAAATTCTAACAATGGTTCAGGAAGAATTAGAGATACAACCAGAAGGATGTGTCAGTCAAAGAACTAAAATAGAAATGAAATGATCCATATCTATCATTCTCTAGTCCTTTTTAGAATTTGCTTTTATTCTGTTATTTCTTTTCCTTGTATGTTAGTATCATCGTGTGTTCCTTTTACTTTAAGTACCATGAGTCGGATAATTTCATATGTTCGTTTATATGTACAAGTTTCGCGTATAAATAACATCTCTTTATAGCGCTTTGTACATTTTTCTGATGACAAATTAGACTGTTCGAAACCCTAAAACCGAAGATGAAAGTAGATTTTAAAAATACAGTATAAAACGGTGTCCCAGAAGTTCTGTCTCATTCAGTATTTTCTCAATATCTCGGTCAAGGTTGATCGAAAAGCCTTAGTCTTTTTTCTAAAAGGAATCTCATTCAATTCTCTACACAAAACACATTGAACATCTCTTTATATACTATAAGAATAAAAACATGTAAAGGAAATGCGGAAAAGTTTCAATATCGATTACTTTCAAACCTAAAGCGTAATTAAAAAATATTTATTTTGAACACGGTGCTATGCATTAAAGTGGAATCGAAATGTATTTTCTGGTGCTCCAGGATATCAGCTTTCTTTTCTTGTATCCTAAGTTCGCTACAAATCTGTTTTCCTGCCACCAATAAAGATTTTACTAAGAAAAAAGAAAAAGAAAATCGATTTCTTCGCCTTGACACAGGAAATGCAACGGGGCTATTCGACTTTCTCTGTTCGGATGTAACAGAAAAACTGTTTTGCTTTAAGATAAATCAGATAAAGTCATAATATGAGATTTGGACCAAATCACACAAATTTCCTAAGTGCCTCAAAACTGTGGTTACAAAATAATGATTTTGGACAAAATCGTTAAACGAAAAAAACCTCCTCCTGCGATCGCTTGAGCCTATAAAGAGTCTTAAATATAGCCAGTTGAAAGAACTTTTCGAGAGCTACAAAATGATCATTTTCTCTTTTTTCGTATCGGAAAACATGAAGGACTGAAATTGAAAAACCTATATTTTCAATTTGAAAGTAATCGATATTGCAGCGTTCTCGTATTTTCTTTATATATTTTTATTCTTATAGGAGGGTAAATCCACATAGAACCTACCACGTTATGCAAAAGTTTGTGCGTCAGTGACGAGATATACTTCGTCAGATGCAGTTTTGGATGCTGCCAAAACCACAGCTCTCCAGCTGAGTGCAGACAAAAGTTATACGCATTATATTTTTTGGCAAAAAAGCTCATTTTTCACCGTTTTCCTGCAGAGATGAGCTTTTTTGTGAAGCTTGTAGAACAGAAACCTCGCATGAAAAACCCTTCAATTTGGTCTCAAATGAAAGATCCCGTCGTTAGATTCATTCATCATAACAACATATTTACATCCAGTTAATACAAAATATGTTTCTGGCTCTGAAGACTGTACTGGTGTAATTAGAAAAGTTAAATACAAATACATTATTGGATTTCGTATGCCGCTGATTAATGGTAACCTATACCCACTGTAAAACATTTCCAAACGGAATCATTAGAAGAATTAAAAAACCTCGAAAGAGCATCATTAGTAAATATTCATATGTTTCAAACGCTAGCACAATGTATGACTCAGTCGTCTCCGTTTCTTGTATCAGCATATAGTGTTAATAGATATACAAATATTGATGTAATTCGAGGATGGTCATATATTTATAAAGAATATTATAAGAAAGATACTGAAATCATCAGATTTTCAATCGGTATGTCCACATTTTATGAAAATGAAAAAAAAGTGAAACAGCGAATATTTGTTTTATTTAAAAACCGGTTTTTAGCTTTGGTTTTTTCTTTGAGTTCTGTGATCTTTTGTTTACTTTTTTATATTTTTAAATTTTTAGTTTTAGGTTATCACAGGGTATCCACGGATGCCACA